ATACGTAAAACGAAAAAAAAGAGAAGAAATTAAATCGAATTTGAAACTTTCGGTATTCTACAAAACAGACAACCACTATTCTGATCGTTCGAAGGTGAATTCAAAGTGCAAAGAGTGTTGAATATATAACAAGAAGAGAGACAAAAGAGAGATAGAGAGAAGTATAGAAAGGAGTTAAGAGTACTACGAAGAGAGTACACGAGGCCGAAGAACGTGAACGTACGAAGAAGACGAAGAAGAAGAAGAAGAAGAGGAATAATAAGAAGAAGGAGAAAAGAAAGAGAAGGAGAAAAGAGCTAGCGGTTCTATAATAGTAACGCGAGCTCCGAGAGCTCGGTAGAGTCAGAAGAAACCGGAAGAAGAAGGTACAAAGGGGAAGAAGAGAGGATGTTTCGTGCTTACGGCACTGCACCGGCCGAGACACCTTCGGGAGCCGATATCTATCCATGGACGACGTTCTTCAATAAAGGTGCATCTTATTCTCTTTTTTTCCCCTTCTTTTTTTCTTATTTTTTCCCCTTCTTTTTTTCTTATTTTTTCCCCTTCTTTTTTTCTTATTTTTTTTCTCTGTTCTCTTTTTCTTCTTTTGTTTTTTTTTCTGTGCTCCTATATACCTCGTTTTCTACCTTGTCTTACGATCTATCGATCTTTTAGCGATTTTTAATTCTGATACACTTTTGCGTCTTATCGTTTGCTCTTGTTTTACACTAGTCATATCTGATTGTTATCGCGATACGATGTATACAGATAAGTTTACCAAGAGAGAGAGAGAGAGAAAGAGAGAGAGGGAGAGAGAGGGAGAGAGATTTAAAGATTCACAAAAAGGCGGGCGTGCGCATGCGAGCACGTTCGACCACGTGATACATCCCACCTTCGTTTTTTCCATTCGTGAGTTTATCCGCCACGATATATGGCAATGACGACACGAGCCACGAGACAGAGAGAGAAAGAGAGAGAGAGAGAGAGAGAGAGAGAGAGAGAGAGAGAGAGAGAGAAAGAGAGAGATATCGCGTTCCTCGTTTCATCGTCGGACGATGGCGACGTCGTGCGAGCACGTGACGTGGCGAGCGCGGGAGGGACGTCCTCCTCTTCTTCACCACTGCCTGCCTATATTCACCTCACTACGTCTATCTTTATTTTTCTCTCTTGTAAAAGAAGACAACGTTGTAATACGTTGATCGTTCTTTCATGGGTAACGACGTATTACTATTCCAATTTTTCTTTCTAACTTGACGTCCGGATGTCTGTGTCTATATGTTGACCATTTCTCTCTTTCTTTTTTTCTCTCTAGTTCTTGTTTTCCTTTTTCCTTTTTTTTGTTTTCTTTTTTTTTTTTTAACTGCCCCAGTTCGGAGACAGATATCCGATATATTTGATTTCGACGTCACATCGCAGTGACGTAATGATAGTACGTTAATTCGTACGTACAGGTAATCATAGGCTGAGGTTGAGAAGAAACGATCACAATTTTGTTTTATATTTGAATATACGTTAAAAAAAAAAAAACGGAAAAACAGGGTTTAGAGTTCGTGTTTGCGTTATTTAGTTTTATCCTTCTCTCGTGTTATATTCGAGATATTCGATATGATTTAAAGTTACGTCGCAATGACGTAATAATAGTGCATTAATTCTACGTAGGTATGTATGTCACATATATTCATAAGTTGACGTTTACAAAAAAAAAAAAAAGAAAAAACGGGAAAGAAAACGGAAAAAAGATTATATCCGACTATTAAAATTTCCTTTATTAGTTATTAGATTATCTTGATCGATCGTGAGATATATCTACGTACTTACACGCGTTGTAAAACATTCCCTGTTATTAGAAAAGAACGGAAAAGAGCGATCGAGAAACAACGTCGATGGGTCTGCTCTTTGTCGATCTCTGTTTGTTCATCCATTCTATTTATCTCTTTCTCTCTCTCTCTCTCTTTCTTTCTTTCTTTCTTTTACTTACAGAAATCGTATTCGCAGACGATGGATAGCGCGAATACTTTGAAACATCGCACGCGTTTCTATCGCGATTCAGCAACGCGTGTTGTCCGTCTACGTTTCTCCAAGAATCAAAGCAATCCTGAGGAACGACGAATGGGTTTTTGTTAAGAGGAGTAACTAAACTTCGGTTGAACTTTATTTTTAGTACGGGCACGACTTTGAGGGAAAGCACGTGGGCGGAAGTGTCCCGTATCCCTCTGTTATTCTCTTCATGATTTCTACTTACCTGGAACCTTATTTGTAATACGAATAAAATCGAAGGGAAAAAAAAAGATCGTCGAATATACGTAAATTTCTCTGTTGCGTGGATCTGTCTCGGTGTTTTCGTTATTGATTAATTCTCGAAAACGACGAGTCGCAGCGGTGAGAGCGCTATAACACTCTTAAATTATAATGCCCGTCCAATTAAACGAACATTATTTAAATCAGATACGAAGTTGCGTTTTGTTAATTGAATCTGTCGAATCGTTTCTCTCAAATACTGCCTAAATATTAATATTTTATT